GCAACGTTGAATTATGTGCGGAGGTTGTGCAATATTGAACTGTGACTGTTGCGTAATTACGCAACAAGAAAGAAAGGAAGGAAAGAGATGTTCTTACGACACACTAAGAGAGGTGGGTCGTAACAGAGAATACTGTCACATGGGTAAAATATTTTTGCTTTTTTTTTCTATTGACGGAGTGTATGCAACAACTATTTACGGTGTAAATTTGTTTTTTACACTTTTATTCTATTACGATTTTTATTATTCAATGATTTTTCAAGTTTAGAATTGGCGGTGTGTTGAGGTCAAGGATGCCAACTAAAAATAAAGTAAAGGGGGACAAATTTAGGGAAAAGCGGGGCGTATGATGGACTTTGTCTTCTACCTATCCATTCTTTTTGCCGACGACTGCTCGTTGTTATGCCCGATGAGCGTTCTGTGCTCTCCGGCGGACTGCCAGTCTTTTATAGACAAAATAGAGGGTTTGTGCCAATTAAATCTCATGACATTAAACTACTCAAAGTGTGTGTACTTCACAAATCGCGAGCAGTTAGTAGCAAATAATTTTAATTTTACTATCAATGAAACTGTGACTGAGCGAGAAACGTCAGTGGTGCTTCTTGGAGTACGGCTAAGCTCAGAGTTATCATGGGTAGGGCATATTAGAGATTTAACTCTTGCATGCAAAAGACGTCTGAGAGCAATGTTTAGAACTTTTAGAGAAGCACCAGTGATGATTCGGTTAGCGATTTTAAATCAGGTATTATAAGTAAAGTGGACTATGATAGCATTGTCTATGATAGTAAGCGGTATACAGGTGAGCTTGAAAAAGGCACCAGATTAACGGCACGAATGATATCTAAGAAATTCGATGGATCTGCAACATCTTTGATTATTAAACTGAAACTTCCACATTTAAGGATACGAAGGAAATATTTTAGGCTGCTGCATTTCATTAAAGTAAAAAATGCTATTTCTTCTCTCTCCACTTTCACTCCTTTTATAAAACCGGTAACTGATCGGCGATCAGATCGACTTAACGTTGATCGACAGAATAGTATGCAGGTTGAAACTCCGATAGTTTCCAAAGAACATGTACCCTCTTCATTTTTTTATCAATTGGAACTCTCTACCAGAACAAGTAGTGACCGCAAGACCAGTCACTTCTTTCAAAAGAGCACTGCGAATCCATCTGCACATTTGAGTAATCTTTGTATCTACATCATTATTTTCGCTATTCTTCGTTGTATCTGTCTTACTGCTTCCAACATGATCACTTCTAGCTAGGCATGCACCGATTTCGATAAAAAGCCGGAAAATAGAAGCCGAAAGAAAAAGTTCAAAACTGAAAATAATCTAAAATATCATACTTTAAGTGCAAAACGAAATTTTTCTTATGGCAAAATACTAAGAACTTAAATTAGATTAGTGTAATTATTCACCATGAAGGAAGCGTTTCTCAGAGTTGAACCTAGTAACAATAATACAGAAAATTCAACTTCCAATACTTTTTTCTCTAGGCACAATGTTGGGAAACGCTTCCTTCATAGTGGAAAATCAAAAGTAATTAAAACAATCGCATTTTCACCGTGAAGGAAACTCTTCCCAAATTTGTGCCAAGAGAAAAAAGTGTTGGAAATTAAATTTTACATACTATTGTTTCTAGATTCGACTCTGAGAAATGCTTCCTTCATGGAAAACCAAGTTACTATATGCGCTTTCCAACTAGCTTCAACTAGTTGGAAATCGTGTTAGCCAATTCGTTACTAGCTTAAGCGACCACTATAGCGCCCGTTCCATAGCGTGCACGTTTATGCAGCTAGCTGCAACGGGTATCGAAACTAGCGTAGCTAGTCGCAGCGCCCGCTATGGTAAGAGAACAATGCCGCTTGAGCCGGACATGATAAAATAGACCGTTTCTAAAGCTGTTAGATTTGTTATAAAATGTACACATTCGTTAGAATCACGAAACGTTGTCAAATTATTAAACATTTTCAAAAGACAAGCTTTCGTTCCCAAACGAAACTTGGATGTGCCAGTTGTTGTATCAAGCCATACAATGGTTTTTCCATCCATACCTCTAAATAACTGAGAAATGATATCGCTGCGGGACCGCCTGATCAAACTTGCCAAGTTATAATTAATACACGACGGTATGCTATGTCACTAATCTGTATTATAATAGAAATTTCTATATTTTTTTATGTCGACATTTTGTATTCGACATTTTTCGAAGTCGTGATTTGTACTTGTCGACACTTCACCAACAAAAGAGACGAAGTATTTAATAATACATGGTGAAAAGAATGAAATTAACGATTGACTAAGCTTACTTTTTCGTCAAAGATAAGAATATTGCAATATTAAGTAAATATTTTCGAAGACGAGGAGAAAAATACGAAAATACAGCTAACGACAATTTAAAAATGGTTGTTACTATTATTTACAATAAATGAGCATTAATTAAATAGCAGTTCATTGATTCGTATTTCATAATTTGTTATATATTAAGTGTATTAAGAGCGCTGTTGTAAGTATCCGAATATTAAATGAAGCAAAAGAGTTTTATCATGCACAAATAATGTTATTTCAGCGAAAGAAATAAAACAAAAAATTATAATTCTATAACGGATACGTGTAGCTGTATTGTTGCTTAATAGAACAAAATGTTTGTTTCCTTTCAGCGCTGCTATCATTCTCTTTTCAAAAAAGTCAAATTATGAACACAGTAGTTGTTGTATTAATATTGATATTCAACTATTATCATTCAATAAGAGGAGATGATTCAGTCATAAAATAATTGGTGATTATAGTTATTTAAACAAATTTGGTCATAGTCCCACTGGTAATGGTAATGAACAATTACGTATTCGTACACATCTTGAATACGTTGAAAATCTAATTCGTAATCAAACATCGACAAGTTCATCGTCATTATTGCAATTACAAGCATTGGATTATTTAAATGATTATTGGAATATTGGTCAATTTCCTCAACATGATAAATACTATCAACATCGTTTACCTCGTTTTATCGATCACAATGACATACATTGTGCTGTTGGTTATATGATATCAAGATCACCTGCATTTGAATATGTACCAAAGCAAATTAATAAAAAATATGAATATTCTGATGTTGATCAAATTAAAAATAATAATTTAGATAAATGGATGAATCTCTATCAATTCAGTTTAAATGAATTATCAATGATTCAACCGACGTATTCATTCATGTGTTCCAAAGGTACACTATGTTACATAGACCTACGTAAGTCAAATATTTAAATATAATTTTTTAGATCAAACAAATAATCGATGTCTATCGGGTCAATGTCTAACAGTCGGGGGTGATTGTCTCAGTCTGGATGGATTTGAACCTTCTAAACGCACTAGAAAACCTCCACAAACTGGTAACACCATTTCTTTAGGAGCCGCCGTTTGAAGAATCCGAACATAGACTCAGACGTATTTCAGAATTGCTTTGTACTCACCTCTTACTCACATCCGTTCATTAAGACTATTTTACAAATTGATATAATGTAATCCATCGAACCACGATTTCGATTTGTTTTAAGATCTTCTTTCACTCTCAAATAAGTTCATACCTATTATTTTGTAATTTTTTCTTCATTATATTCTTAAAGTAAATCATTTCGAAAAATCTTCGATCTTGAAATTAGAGGTGGTATATTCACACATCTAAAACTAAAAGAAAACTTTTAAAAATTGGAAAATATAAATACTGGAAGAAAATGCATTGTGCTTTCCTAAACGTTGACTGTCATTTATTATAATATTAAGAACTAATTTCTATTGTTTCTCTATAGGTTTTAATAATGCTATGAATAAAAAGCAAAGCAAAAAAAATTAAACAAAAATTATGCTACACGTTCCTTTCTAAACGTGTATTTCTTATTGGAATGTATCAATGTTGATAAATCTGACTACAACAGAATATATATATAGGAGCCAGTGCATATGGGGAGCCTGTGCATGAATAAGTTGTTGTCAAAAATTTCTATTATTATTATATTATTAGATTATGATAGAAATTTCGCCAGTCGGGAAAGAGATTATAAAGAGAAATAAATACGCACATTTATTTTAGTCGTTTCAGTCGATGAAAAGAAATCATCATCATCACCTTCGTGTTTCTAAAGCTTTATTATGTTAAAACTGTATCATTTTTCATATACTTTGATATCCTTTGATTCTGTAACGTTTTTTAAAAACCTATTATTTATCAATATAAGGCAGGTAGTTGTTTTTGTAGCAATCGAAAGAGGTATTGAATCCGGGACTAACAGCAAATCCCATGCTACCTCTGAACCAGGCAAAAATAAGAGTTTGCTTAGTTACCGCTTTAGAGAACATACTTTCGAGTGTCTGTCTATGAAAAAAGCCTGATAAGTTGCTATCTCAGTTTCCGGAGATTCGAACTGGTCTCCGACAATGATCCTGTTTTGTGTCCTGTTTTGATTGCTACAAAAACAACTACCTGCCTTATATTGTGGGATAAATAATAGGTTTTTAAAAAACGTTACAGAATCAAAGTATATAAAAAATGATACAGTTTTAACATAATAAAGCTTTAGAAACACAAAGGTGATGATGATGATTTCTTTTCATCGACTGAAACGACTGAAATAAATGTGTGCATTTATTTCTCTTTATAATCTTTCTCGACTGGCGAAATTTCTATCATAATCTAATAATATAATAATAATAGAAATTTTAGACAACAACCCATCCATGTTAATTCGGGCAAGCTGAAGAAAAATGCACAGAAAACATGCGTCATGCAAGGTAAGCTCGATCAACTGCGAAAGCACTACGACGAAGGAGAATGCAACTGTGCGAATATCATTATCAATTGTCATTGCTAGTTGGTATGAAATTAAAGTAATTTAGTAATATAGTCAATGCCGCAAATCGATCACGATAGATAATCACAGTTTTTATGACGCAGTAGATCCAGTTGTTCAATGAATTAATATGCGGACATAATGTGAAAAACCAAGTTTATTTTGAAGTATATTATATTTCCCATTGTTGTAAGGCGCCGCTAATTCAAAGATCGAGCAGGTTTTAATTTTTGGCTTTATTCTGATTCGCCGAATCGAGCTGATCACGAATATCACCTTCTTAGTTCGATTTGATCACTTTTTTGGAGAGAAAAATGCAAAAAACTGAGATCGGGTGGAAAACCTCAAAAATCGTATTTTTTGAGAAAAACCTGTCTAGTCTTTTCCACTCAGCTCAAAACTTTTTT